CTGGTAGCTCAGTTGGTTAGAATATTGTCCCTGTATGCTAAGGTTGCAGGTCCCATCTCTGGTCAGGGCACATACAAGAAGCAACCAATGATGCCCTAACCGGTTTGGCTCAGTGAATAGAACGTTGGCCTGCGGAGTCAAGGGTCCCAGGTTCGATTTCGGTCAAGGGCATGTACCTTGGTTGCAGGCACATCCCCAGTAGGGAGTGTGCAGGAGGCAGCTGATCGATGTTTCTAACTCTATCCCTCTCCCTTCCTCTCTGCAAAAGATCAATAAAATATATATTTTTTAAAGGTAATGAATTAAAACTTCCCGCAAATGCTCTTTAAAAAAAATAAAAGCAACCAATGAATGCATAAATAAGTGGAACAACAAGTTGATATTTCTCTCTGTGCCTTCCTCTCTCTCTAAAAATCAATAAATTTAAAAATGAGAATATTGCTTTTTGGAAACCAACTTGAGGGAAATCATACGCAAGGATGTATAGACAAAACTACAAAAACAGTAATGGAAGACATTAAAATCAAAGTAAATACTTTGGACTACTGAGCTAGAAAAGTATAGGAAACACTCTAATCACATAGTCCCAAGACAATCACTTACAGAACTTAATACATTAACTAAAAAATACATCAAAGGTGCAAGTGGGGAAGGCTAGTAAATAGTGTCTTCAAGTACCAAGTGTGAAAACATGAAAGGGTCAGTTATTACAGTACCTATCTTTTTTTTATATATTTTATTGATTTTTTACAGAGAGGAAGGGAGAGAGATAGAGAGTTAGAAACATCGATCAGCTGCCTCCTGCACATCTACTGGGGATGTGCCCACAACCCAGGTACATGCCCTTGACCGGAATCGAACCCGGGACCTTTCAGTCCACAGGTCGACGCTCAATCCACTGAGCCAAACCGGTTTCGGCAACAGTACATATTTTAAATTACCAATGGAACAAAACAGATTGAAATTATACAATAATGCCTTATGTATACAATAATACCTTATTACCAAAGGTGATAAAACAATGACACTAGATTACAGCCTTCTTTTGTTTAAAAAAAGTTTTTATACTTTTTAATGTTTTCTTTTTACTCGCTACCTAAAAATTACTAGGAGACGCTAAAGTAATGAAAGTTTAGCACCTCTGAAGACTATTCGAAGTGAACTTTACTGGTGAGTTCATTATTTTTATACCTATTTTCTGTGGTTGATTGAAAGGAAATTCTCATAGTAGGACTCAAAACATATAAACAGTGAAGAAACTAGGGAGTCTGATTTATGCTCTTGCCCAGTATTAAAATAATGAAAGCTCATTTTTAAAAAATCAGGTTTACTGAAGCATAACTTACAGTAAAATTTACTCTTTCCAGCATACAGTCCATGAGTTTTGACAAATGTAAACAGATGTGTAACCACCAAGACCACTTCCCCTCACCGCCCCCCACCAATTTTCAGGAGTGGGGAACCTTTTTTTCTGCCAATGGCCATTTGGATATTTATAACATCATTCGAGGGCCATACAAAATTATAAAATTAAGAATTAGCCTGCTATATTTGGTCAAACATGTAATTAACTTACCCTTAATGCCTTGGCAGGGCCAAACCAAATGATTGCGAGGGTCTTATATGGCCCATGGGACAGACACTCCCCATCCTTGAAGACAAATACTTGGATGCCAATAAGAAGGAAAAAGCAAATCTATATTTTACTTACCACTCTTAAGTTCTAGGTTGATGAAGAGCTAGATATTTCTGAAAACAAAGAAAAATCCAGAAATGTAATTACCTCCCCCCCCCCTTTTTTTTACCCTCACTTTTAAATCAGAATTTTATACTCAAAGTAACACAAGAAATTAGCAATGACTGGGGCAACCAGACATTGTCTCCTCCTGAAATCTTAGTATGAAGTATCCAACATCACCTCTTACGCAGTTTTTTTCAAAGGTTAAACTTTAACCACACCTTTAAATTTAACTTCTAGTTCACAGGAATTAAGGATTAAGCTAATAATACACAAGGATGAAAGGTAAACCTGGATGTACTGCAAAACACTAGCCCTGGTTCTCTTTGTCATTAAAACAAGGAAATTTTAAAAGACTGGTTTTGTTTTTTGTTTGATTGTTTGTTTGTTTTTTAAGGATTGTTGCAAATGAAAAGACTTGAGTTGCATGTTACCCATATTCAGCACGTGGTCCTGGAGTTGATCCTGATTTGGACATAGAGATGTGAAGGGAATTTGGGGGATACATGGGGAAACTTTTTCTGAATGTAGACTGCAAATTAAATGCTAAAAAGAATTATTTCATTATATTAGGTGTGATAATATTTTGCTATGTAAGAAAACGATCATTTTTTGAGGTACATATGGAAGTGTTAATGATAGTGTCATGCTTTCTGTCATTTAAAATACTTCAGAAGAAGAGCTATGAGTTAAAGGGGGGAAAAAATGGATATGAGAAGGTAAATTCCATTACAAAAATTTTCAACTTTGTAACAATAGGAAACTCTAAAACTAAGATAACTCTAGGAGGAAGGTGGAAAAGATTTGCAATAAAAATGATTACTCCTTAAAATAAAAATAACTAAAAAGGCAAATCAGTCAGGTTCCCAGTTCTCAGTAAACTACTATTGAAAAATGTTTGGTTTCACTTATATCACACTCAATGAAATGGAAATTAAACTACCATGAGATATTATCTTATACCGATTAATGAATCTCTTTATCCTTATAATACTTTCTCAAATAAATTATTTTTCTAGTGTTGGTATTACTGTATCAGCTTTATTTTTATTAGTATTTGATCAGTCTATTTTTTATCCCTTGATTTTCAACCTTTTAAAAAGTACATTTTTTTATTGATTTCAGAGAGGAAGGAAGAGGGAGAGAGAGATAACAACATCAGTGATGAGAAAGAATCATTGATCGGCTGCCTCTTGCACACCCCACAGGGGGATTGAGCCCGAAACCTGGGCATATGCCCCTCCTGGTTCATAGGTCGATGCGCAGCCACGGAGCCACACCAGCCTGGCATGATTTTCAACCTTTTAATGTCATTTTTCATGAAGTGTATCTCTTGAAAATAGCTGAAATGATTTTAATATAATTTTATAGTATCTTCCTTTTAATAGGTGAGTTTAATCTATTTTTCAATTACTATTTTAATCATTTCTGATAAATTTGGATACATTTCTCATATCTTTTTCTGTGATTTTCTCCTTTCCTAGTTTCTGGATTGATTAAGCTTCCTTTATTCCCATGGTTTAGTCCACTGGTTTGGGACTTATACACTCAATTTCTGTTATTTTAGCAGCTACTCTTAAAAACTTTACATGCCTATTTTGACGTCCAAAGTTAGTATCTTTAGCATCCTCCCAAACAACACAAGACCATAAAATGCACCAACTCTGATCACTCTTTCTATCTCCTACATGATCATTGTTTAGTGTCTGTTCCTCATTGCCTTGAAACCCCCTAAATAAATAGTTTTTAACCAGCATTATTTATTTAGGTTTACCAACATATTTGTCAATCTCTTTGATTATCACTGCTTCTGGCATCATACCTTCCTTCTGGGTTCATTTCACTCATTCCATTAGCAAAACTATTAAACATTATCACTAAAGAGACTTCAGGGAAAGAAATCTATCCCACAGTGCTGATATCAGCATTAAACAAAGTTATTTTTTGAAAGTACATTATAAGTTGCAAAACACTGTAAAAATATGAGATTTATTTTTTGTGCATTGAATATTTTCAGAGGAGTGATCTTATAAAATGTAATAAAAGCTAAAAAATTTATCACACAACTTCCTTAACATAAGGATATATTTTAGAAATGATACAATGGACTTTTTAGAAAGTACTTTATAAGTTGCAAAACACTGTTAAAATATAAGAGATTTATTTTTTGTGCATTGAATACTTTCAGAGCAGTGATCTGGTAAAATGTAACAAAAGCTAAAAAATTATTACACAAGTACCTTAGCATAAGGAAATATTTAGAAATTATACAGTATTTTAGAAATGATAAAATTGTGGAATGCTGGAAACAACCCAAATGGTGAAGTAAATTATGATACATCAGTTTCATCTAATGGCAGGTAACCTTTAAAACAAATAGATATGTGAAGAATTAAGCAAAAAAGATAAACACAGATTGCATATATTCATTGGTTTACAACTCTGTAAAGCTATGTATGTGTTAGTAAAGATTGGAAGAAGTCATCAAAAACACTGAAAGTTGCTAGGCCAAGAGGAAGAAGTTCTGTTATTTTCCTATAATGTTATTTATTCAATAAAAATTTATTTTAAACATATGCTTGAGGATTGAAAAGATGGAGGTTAGATTAAAATAAAAAGAAGAAAGAGATACTATCATTTTACATTTAGTCACCAAGAAAATTTTGTGGCATCATGCCCAGTAGGTTGATTAAAATCAGTTCATAGAAAAGTCATTTAACCTTAAGTGACTACACAGTTAGTAAAAACCACAGGTATCAATTTTTAAAAATAGGTTGCCAATTTGGAAGGTTTTAGGGCAAAAGGATGGATGTTACTAATGCACCTTTTCAACGCTATTCAACGTCTTTTTTCTAAATGATATAATATAATTACTCATAATTCTTAATTCTGCATACTGGTTGCTAATTTCTTTCTGTTCTCCTAAAATAATGTGGATTTTTTTTTAATGCCATGGTAGTTCATATTGGCTTGGTCTCTAGCTTAACCTTAAAATTTTGCTCTCTTTTTTATTAGGAGACCTTCAGACTCCTTGAATTTCCACAGTAAACATATTAATTTGTTCAACTGATACAACCTAGTGCCTGCTTATTCATTCAGTTATTTATTCAACAAGCATTAATTGAGTGCCTACAATAGGCTGGTCCTTGACAATGAAGAGATCAATCAAATAAAATCCTTATTCTTAAGGAGCTCACAATCTAGTGGTGAAGGCAAAGGTCTCAAGTCTATGACATTGATGGGATACAAAGTCTCTTTCATAATAATAGTAAAAAGCAATTATTAACTTTTTTTCAACATGCAATATTATATTTTTAATCTTCACCCAAGAATATGATTATTGATGGGGGGGGGGGAGTGGGAGAGAGAAACATTGATGTGAGGGAGAAACATCGATGGGTTGCCTTCCATTCATGCCCTGACTGCCTCTCCCCCTCCCTTCCACTCTCTCTAAAAATCAGTGGAACCCAACTGGCATGGCTCAGTGGTTGAGTGTTGACCTATGAACCAAGAGGTCAGGGTTCAATCCCCAGTCAGGGCACATTATTTATTCAACAAGCATTAATTGAGTGCCTACAATAGTCTGGTCCTTGAGAATGAAGAGATCAAGTTGAAGAGATTAAGTTGCAGGCCTAATACTCAGTGTGGGCATGCAGGAGGCAGGTGGTCAATGATTCTCTCTCATCATTGATGTTTCTCTCTCTCTCCCTCTCCCTTCCTCTCTGAAGTCAATAAAAATATTTTATTTTTAATCAATGGAAAAATATCCTTGGTGAGGATTAACAAAATAATAACAACTAGCCCTCTAATAGGAATCCACAACTATACTGTAAGTCAGAGGCTGCAAAATGACACACTTTATGGTTTTTGAAAATACGACTTGCCAACATTTAAAAATCAAGAGATGATACATAATAATCAGGATTTCTGGCTTTTTTGAAAAAGTTGATCTGGCAACATAAGGCCTTGGGTGTCACATGGCATCAATCAGCTGGAGCTGTGTAGCACCTGCCACCTGTCGACAGGTCATACATGCTACAGCTACCATAGCCCCAAGGCCTTTCAAGTGTTCAAATCAGATGTGTCTAGCCAAGAGTCCCAAACTTCTGCACAAACAAAACCACACATGCTACAGAAAGCTGCCCCCGAAGTCCGACACCACTTTTAACCTACCGGGGCAGAACTCTGATTATATGCATGTAAAAGGCATGTCTACCCCACAGCTGCCTCTGTTTCTCCTACAGAACTCTATCCAGCTTTGGGAAAGGGTTCTACATAGCCATTTGCGTTTGGTACCATCTGCCCTATATGCTCAAGATAGTTCTAAAGGCAGGCTTCCAGGCACCAACACAGACCCACTCTGGGACACTTACTGAAAACCTCCATTGAAAGCAAGTGGCTTACAGCTCCATTATGTGTGCGCAGGCCTGGGAGGAAGGAAGCGTGTGGTTGAGTAGGAGGCCTCATAAGCTCCCTTCTGGGATTACAGGTCTGAGCCTAAGGAACATAACAGCCGAGTCCTCTGATCAGACCTGGCCCACCCAGGGTGCGAAAGGACATCCCACCCTTGTCGGACGTGAAGGAGAGGCCGTGCCTGTGTATTATGTGGTTGTGATGGATACTTACTGCTTAACTCCCCAGCATCCACATCCTTCTTACTACTACCCAGGACCCCCAATTTCTTAGGTGTGCCATTAGGGCGGGATGAAGCCCACCTCCAGTTCCAGAGAGAGAGAATCAGTATATCCTGTACCCCTGGCCACCGTCCAAGGGTGAACATGTATGTGCTCCCTTGCCACAAGGAGGCTGAATGCTAGAACTTCTGACTGAGCAATCAGAAAAGCACAATTTGCTTTCTCCTGCTTCTCAAGAACAGGATTCACATAGATCCTGGAGCTCTGACATCGTCTTGGGACCACAGTGGGAGAGCTGTCTGAGAAGGGAGTCAAGAAGAGCCACTGAGGCCAGAAAAATATAAAGGTGCCTCCACACTGGACCATTTGGTGCTACAAGCTAATAAATTCCCTGCTTGGCTTCAACCGGTTTGGGTTTGGTTTTTGGTCACTGGCGACACAAAGGGTCCTCACCAGCACCCCAGTGAACACAACTTGAGCCAGCTCCGTTTTGATGACCTCTGCCCTAATCACCATCTTCCCACCCGTATTTTCAATTCCGTGTAAGGCAAGTCAATGTAGCAACAACTGTGATAGAATTCAGTAGACCTCGGCAGGGGAGGGGGAAAGACAGTTCCCAATATTTGTGTATTTTAGCCTAAAGTTCGATTTCGTGGTTTACGTCATACTTCTCTTTTTTATGTATCTCTCTTAAGAGGAAATTCAATCATCAGTGTTTAAGAAATGCAAATGTGGGGCAGTGATGTATCAACCCAGAGACGTTCTATTATACTAGAAAATGTTTTTGAAGGGGGAAAAACAGGGATTTTTATTATTAAAAGATAAAAGTAAACTTGTTTTTTTAAGACACAAGGCATTGGAAACATTGGTTTCACAACATGCCATTATTAGACAGCCTCTATCTGATTGTTGGAAATTATTCATTTCCTCAAAGAGAGAGAATAAATTGGTTGGGGATACAATCTTGTACAATGCACTTTCTTTGCCAAAGGCATTCGCTGAACATTTCAGAGCCACCAGAATGCTTCTGCTTTTGACTTTCCTGGCCCTCGGAGCTGCCGACGTTGGTGCCATTGCCTTAGAAAGTCCGTTGAAGAGACTGGTGGCAGAGACCTTGACCCTGCTCTCCACTCATCGGACTCTGCTGATAGGCGAAGGGGTAATTTTCTTTTTGAGTCCTGCAGTCTTTAAAAGGCATCGGTAATCATTGGTGCGGTTAACTTTTAAAGCTCTGTTAATGAAATTATGAGTGTTAGCAATAGATGATTGGTAACCATTTCACAATCATTTTATTAAGTGGTGAATGCTAGAGTGCTTTACAAATGAATGTATTTCCTTTCCTTTTCAGAACCTGATGATTCCTACTCCGGGACATACAAATGTAAGTTAAATTATGATAGCATGAATAAGTGAATTGCATATTTTAGGCTATCAAACCATAGTTATCATTGGAACTATTTATGTTCTATATTTTGTTTTTGTGTGTGTGATGTGAATGTGTGTACTTACAAATAGTAGGAATGACTTTATAACAAGTAGAATCCATTAAACAAGGCCCTTTGGAGATATGGTCAGGTTAAGAGGTGCCTCCTCATCTCCATTCAATTCTGACAATCTACTGCTTTCCTCACTTTAATATCTTTTTGAAAGTATTAGCAACTTAGGGTAATACTTTTAGAATCTTAGTGCACATTACAATATACAATGAATGATCTATATTAACAGTCATTTCCTCATTTTTAAAGTGATCATGACATGTAACAGAATTGTATGCGTTTGGAGTATGTCATGGTCATACTAAAATGTAAAATGTATGATTTCATTAGTCTGAATAGAACAAAATTACCAACTAGAACTATGAAAGGAAACTCTGATATGAGATCAACAATTATTCTTCTTAAACATTGTATTTTTGGTTAAGTACTTGCTTTATATCATTTGTAAAACTCCTCAGTAATTCAATAAACCTCACCTACTTTTAGAAATTATATCCCAATATGAATTGGTTCCACCTAGAAAAGGAACAATGAAAAACTCTTTGGAAAAGGAAACTCGTGTAAACACCACAAAACAAAGTCTAGCTTTTTGGACCAATGTTTTAGATCCTGATTTGATTACTTATATTTTTAAAATCTTCCTCCTTTAGTACCAACTATGCATTAAAGAAGTCTTTCAGGGGGTAGACACATTGAGGAATCAAACTGCAGAAGGGGATGCCGTGGAAAAACTCTTCCAGAACTTGTCTTCAATAAAAGACTACATAGATGGCGAAAAAGTAAGTAAAAAGCATTTAGTGGGAACTTAAGCATGATTGTCTGGCTCTGCCTATTTTTACAGGAATTGACAGGTTGCTGCAATACCTCTTGTCTGTTCTTTTTCACAGAAAAAGTGTGAAGGGGAACGCTTGAGAGTAAAGAAGTTCCTAGACTACCTGCAAGTATTTCTTGGCGTGATAAACACTGAGTGGACAATGGAAAGTTGAGACTCAACTGGCTTGTTGTAGCGATAAAGGATGTTTTATTGCCACGGGAATGAGGGCCAATCAAGGGCAGGGCCTTCCTCTTCAGTTTAATTAAGCTTCTGAGGCAAAGTAGCAGTATTTCAGGCATACTGCTGCTTCACTACCTCATCTGGGCAGAAAGCATCAAAACAAAATGTTCTAGGTATATTCCAGATACAGGAATCAGGGAAGTATTTTCCTCCAGTTCGCTCCAAACCAAATGGATGTATACTTTTTATCTTATTTAATGCAGAATTCTGTAAAATGTCTGTTAACTTAATATTATTTATGAAATGGTTAAGAATTTGGAAAATGACTATTTATTTCATGTCAAGCTATGTTCCAATAAAACAAAAATAGACAACTCTGGTTCAATTTGTTGTTGGCTTTTGTCTTTTTCTTGAAGTGAGTGCAGACTGTGTGAGAACAGGCTGAGTGTGGAGGGAGGGCCTGCATGGATGCTAACATGTTAGGTTGTAAAATTTGGGAGGGGGGTATTTATTTATTTATTCCATAAACTGTGATAAGATAAGGATGTAAAATATTTAAAGCAGTACTCTCTGATCACTAATCCATCAACGTGGCTGCTTTGTCTGTATAACATGCTACACGTCCCCTTAGTTGACCTTCAGAGCCTTACTAATTGTCTTCTATGAACTTTTCTATGTTCCCAATTATATTTGGAGTGAACCTACAGATTTTCTCTGCTGAGTTCCCTCCCATCACTTTGTTAAAAATGCATCAAGTTTGGGGACATACATATAATAGTTCCCTATATAAATACTGGTAGACAAGCAATGTATTGAAAGATAGATATGTTCCATGAAGAAATGTTTTATGCAGAAAACATTCATTGGGGAGACATTCTAGAGCAGTGGTTCTCAACCTTCTGGCCCTTTAAATACAGTTCCTCATGTTGTGACTCAACCATAAAATTATTTTCGTTGCTACTTCATAACTGTAATGTTGCTACTGTTATGAATCATCATGTAAATATCTGATATGCAGGATGGTTTTAGGCGACCCCTGTGAAAGGGTCGTTCGACCGCCAAAGGGGTCACGACCCACAGGTTGAGAACCGCTGGTCTAGAGGAAGTGGTAGGTCTAGTTCTTCCTGTAACGCCCCAAGAATTTTCACACCTGTGTGCCTTTGCCCACACTGACTCAGTACATCAGTCTTTTCCCACACAGGGAACATGGAATTGTCCCCTAGAGGTTTTCATTCATTCCTCTCCCTGAGCTCTCACAGTCCAGCTCAAATGCTTCCTTCTTGATTCCTTCCCTGCCTAGCCTAGCAGTATTAGTTGCTCCCTTCTCAGTGTCCTGCATTACTTTGAACATTTCTCTATCGGAGTTCTTGTTTTTATATTGCAGTGTTTCCAGGCACATCGTATACATCTCTGTACATGTATCAGTCTGAATAGTCCAGGTGATGCTGCAATAACAGATCATCCCTGAATCCTAGTGGTGGGGGACACAACCAAAGTTTGTTTCTTAGTCACACAGAGTCTACTGTGGTGTGGTCCTGAGCAACCCTTCAGAGCAGCTGTCCACATGTTGGCTCTGCAATCCAGGATGTTTCCGTCTTATGATGCTCAGACAACCTGAGCAAGTGCTTGTGAAGCAATCTTCCTCCAAACAATTTTTCCCAGAGTCAAGTACAGAAGCCAAAAAATTCCATGGGACTAGCTACCTCTGAGCAGAGGAATCAATGCTCAAAGCCTGGAAATGGCCTCATTCCTTTCCTTCCTCTCACTACAATGTAAGATTTGCTCCTAGACCAGGTCAGCCACGCCCTGGCAAACATGCACCAGGAGGAAATGGCTCAGGTGCCTCTGAAATCTGAACAAACACTGAGATGGAGCCATCTGACTTGGCCACTTTCACGCGGAAGACCCATCCCTCACCTCTATTGTAAAACCGCAAAACCTGCAGGGCCTTCGAGGACAAATTTCCCCCGGCCCAGTCTAGTTCTGCTTTGCTGACAAACTAGCGGGGTTGAAGTTCAATTCACACTGTATTCACTTGGTCATCTGCCATGACAAACCCACAGATTGGGTGGCTTTAACAACAGGGCTTTATTTTCTCACGGTTCTGACGGCGTTGGTTTCCCCTGCACCTCTCTCCTTGGCTGACAGATGGCTGCCTCGTCCCTGTGTACTCACATGGTTATCCCCCTGTGTGTGCGCATCCCTGGAATCTCTCTACATGGATTAATCTCCCCGTCTCATAAGGACACCAGTCAGATTGGATTAGGGCCCAGCCTAGAGACCACATTGTCACTTACCTCTTTAAAAGCCCTATTTCCAAATACAGTCAACATTCTGAGGTACTGAGGGCTAGGGCTTCAACACATGCATTTGGAGAGAATACAATTCCATCCATAATATACACTAACAGGAAACATTTCCTCAGGCACTTGGGATGACACAGGCGTCCACCTGCATGAGGAGCAGACAGGTCACATGTCTCCTTCTTGTCTATTTTAGGAACACACAGAAGTTAGAAAGAGCAGGTTGTACATCCGAAAACAAAGTGCTGCCAGGCCAGTGTGGCTCAGTGGTTGAGTGCCGACCTATGGACCAGTAGGTCACAGTTCAATTCCTGGTCAGGGCACACGCCCGGGTTGTGGACTTGATCCCCAGTGGGGGATGTGCAGGAGGCAGCCAATCAATGATTTTCTCTCCATTGATGTTTCTATCTCTCTCTCCCTCTCCCTTCCTCTCTGAAATCAATTTTTTTTAAAAAAAATTTTTTTAATGAAAAAGTGCTGTCACAGGTGTGGAAAACCAGCTCAGGAGGCCCAGGGTTTTCTGACATAGTGCAGCCGGACAGTCACACCAGGTAGCCTCTTGCAGGACCTCTGAGCCAGGGCAGGTACACCCCATGGCACCCTGGTAAGTGCCCAACCCTAGACCCAGCAGCTTCACTCCCCTGTGGGCCATAGAAAATAATCTTAAGAGCAGCCAGAAAAGATAGATTGCCTACAAAGGAAATACAATAAGACTGAGAGCTGAGGTCCCAACAGCAAAACACAGAAGACTGGTGACAGCAGAATGTTATCTCAAGGCTGAGGGGGCGGAAATGGCTAACTTAGCATTCTGTGAAGAGTGAACATTTCTTTCAAAAATAAAGATGAACTAAAAGCATTTTTTTAAAAAATAGACTTCAGCCCTGACTGGTTTGGCTCAGTGGGTAGAGCGATGGCCTGCAGACTGAAGGGTCCCAGGTTCGATTCCTGGTCAGGGGCATGTACCTTGGTTGCAGGCACATTCCCAGTAGGGGGTGTGCAGGAGGCAGCTGATCGATGTTTCTCATTTATGTTTCTAACTCTCTATCTCTCTCCCTTCCTCTCTGTAAAAGAAATCAATAAAATATATTTTAAAAATAGACTATTTTTAGAGCAGTTTTAGGTTCACACAAAACTGAGCAGAAAGTACAGAGATTTCCCAGGTACCTCCTGCCCCGACACACACAGCCACCCTGCATTAAGGTGGTACATGTGTTGTAATCCGTGGACCTACACTGACACATCATTGTCACATTAGGGTTCACTCCTAGTGTTGTACATTCTATGGGCTTTGGAAAATATATAATGACATGTCTCTGCCATAATGGTATCATACAGAATAGTTTCACTGCCCCCAAACCCCTCTGTGTTCCACCTATTTATTCCTCCATCCCCTCTCCTCCCTGGACACCACTAATGTTTTTTACTATCTTTATAGTTTTGCCTTCTCCAAATATCATATCATTGGAATCATGCAGAATGTAGCCTTTTCACATTGGTTCCTTCACTTAGTAACATGCATTTAAGATTCCCCCATTTTTCATGGCTTGATAGCTCATTTCTTTCTGGCACTGAATAATATTCTATTGTGGATGTATCACAATTTATTTGTCCACTCACCTGCTGAAGGACATCATGGCTATTTCCATGTTTTGGCAATTATAAATAAAGGAGCTACAAACATCCATGTGCAGGTTTTTGTATGCATATAAGTTATCAGCTTATTGATTGTTGAAATGTCAAGGGTATGTTTCATTTTTCTAAGAAACTGACAAACTAAACTGTCTTCCAAAGTGGTTCTACCATTTGGCATTCTCACCAGCAATGCATGAGAGTTCCTGTTGCTCTACCTCCTTGCTCACACTTGGTGTTGTCAGTGTTGTAGATTTTGGCCACTCTAATAGGTGTGTGGTGAGCAATATCTCATTGTTTTAATTGGCAGTTCCATATTGACATATGATGTGGAGCAGCTTTTCATATGCTTATTTGCTATCTGTATATCTTCTGTGCGGAGGTGTCTGTTCATGTCTTTTTCCCATTTTTAAAATTCAGTTAAAAACATTATCAACAAGCTCTCACTAAAAGGACTTTGATAAATGGCACTCCTGGGAGGTGCAAAACCACCTCAGAGAGAATGCAAGAAGGAATTACACGGTTACTGTTTTATGCAGCGTGATGTTATCTTCCTCCAGAAATGCTTTACTTACTCCTGGCATGCAATAGGGGAAGAACAGATTATCTCAGTGTAATCTGAGATACAGCCGCTGGAAAGCTGGGTTTGCTTTAAAAGACTGATCTATTTTGGTTCTTAACCTAGAGTATAACTCTTCAGGAGTCCTGATGGGAAGCTTAGCAGTATTTACAGAAACCCCTCCTAGTTGGGATCCCCGAATTCCCATTGTTGTTCCTCTGTACCCATGAGACTGCCCCCAAACTCCCTTTATCCACAGTCCCGCAGCCACAGCTTTTCTCTCAGCTTCTCAGTTGCTCAGCTTCTCAACCTCCAGATCACAGCTTTCCAATCTGTAAATGCCTCAACGCGAAAAGCTTTGCCAACTGTCAGGCTCGCTTCTACGCTTTCCGTCTAAGAACTTAGTCTCTTAAGTCTTCATGGCCATGTTAGTTCTCTGATTCTTCCAAGCAGATTTTAAAAACTATTTGACACGCTTTCCTGATGGTTCTTAACTGGAGGGCTAGTCTGTACAAGCTGTTCTGCCACGGCCTGGATTGCCTGTCCTGGCTTTTGCAGAGACCAGGAAGGTGAGCTGAATGGGAGTGCGAGAGGGACCAGCACTCCTGCACGTTCAAGTTGTCATGGTGGCCACCGCCCAGGAACAGTATCGTGGTGTGTATTGCCTTTGATGTACTATCTCAATCAGGGTTGGGATCGCTTCAAGCCCTTCCACTTGACCCTTACTTCATAGACCCCAGAACCCATGCGAAAGTTCTCCCAGGTGCTAGGAATATTTATCCTATTTATACAGTAAAGAACTATGAAAATAATCACAGGATGTAAAAATGATTTATGCCACAGCTCCATTTGATTACTTATTCTATACAAGCTCCATTCTAGCCAGAAAGCCAG